GTGGGGGCGGCGGCAGCGGCGGGGGCAGAAGCGGCGGTGGCGGCAGGGGGGCGGTGGCAGTGGCAGAAGCGGCGGTGGGGGCGGGGTGGGGGCGGGGTGGGGGGGGCGGCGGTGGCGGCAGAAATGGCAGCGGCGGCGGCTGGGGAAGAAGCGGCAGCGGCGGCAGGGGCAGAAGCGGCAGCGGCGGTGGGGCAGAAGCGGCGGCGGGGGCAGAAAGGGCAGCGGCGGCGGCGGGGGCAGAAGCGGCGGCGGCGGTGGGGGCAGAAGCGGCAGCAGCAGTGGCAGCAACAAAAGGAGGTGGCGGGGCGGGACTTTTGGGCTGTGGCTTCCCGCCTTTTATGTTGCTCGCCTCACCCCACCCCGCCTCGCGCCTGCCTCTCCTCCTCCTCCTCGCTGGATCTTTCTTGAAGGTTGGGGTGGGCATTGGGCCGCATTGCGAGGCGACCTGGGCCACATGCGGCCCATGGGCCGCGGGTTGGACAAGCCTGACCTACAAGGTCCCTTCCAAATCTGTTAATCTGTATCTCTTATGAAGCTCTTACTTCTTCTGCTTCATCAGGCTAGGAATGAGCTGGCACTGCATTTATGGATGTTGCTTTGTTTTTTTTAAAGCTAGAATTAGATCTGTTTCTGACAGGTCACGGGGGATTTGGGGCTTTTAATCCTGGCACCACCAGGGGTAGGATTCAGCCGGTTCGAACCGGTTCAGGCGAACCGGGTGTTAAATTTACATCTGGTTCGCCGAACCGGTAGTTGAACCGATCAGCTAGCCTTGCCCACCCCTCCCTGTCCATTCTAGGAATCTCCACATGGCTCATTTTGGATGCAGGTAAGTGCAGAGGTGCAGAGGCTCTGGGAGGGGGAAAAACAGGCCGAACCGGAAGTTCTAGAAGTCCAGAAATGGGCCTTTTTCCAGCTTCCAGAGGCCCTCCGGAGCCCGGGAGAGGCCATTTTTGCCCTCCCAGAGGCCTGAGGGAAGCCTCCGGACTCTGGGGAAGGTGAAAAATGGCCGAACCAGAAGTTCTGGAAGTCCAGAAATGGACCTGTTTCCAGCTTCTGGAGGTCCTCCGGAGCCTGGGAGAGGCCATTTTGCCCTCCCAGAAGCCTGAGGGAAGCCTCCGGACTCTGGGGAAGATGAAAAATGGCCCTCCCGGAAGTTCCGGTAGGCCACGCCCACCATGGCCAGGTCCACAGAGACCCAGTTGCTGGGATTTTTGAATCCCATCCTTGCCTGGCACCGGTGCTTCCCTTTCCCCAGGCAAAGGCAAGGATTTGATTTGAGGATATATGCTGGATGGCAAGATTAGGGCTGTTTGTCCCTGGCAATTTTTTGTAGTACTTTTAATAACTAAACAACAACAATGACAACATCAACAAAAGGCCTGGTTGATTTTAATATCCAGATTACACTTCAGGTTTCTCACTTCTTTAAATGAGCAGTTTATGTCTGGTTGACAGTCAAACAGGTACATGTTCACATTTAAGCATGTATCTTTCACACATTACTACCTGTGTTGCATCAATGAGTCTATGTTTCAATGAGGTTTGTCTAGCTATCGTCCTTTGGGGACATGTCAGAGAGTTTTGGCAGTGGAAATAAAGGTGATTTTTTTTGCCTTATTCTTCTTTACAGGGTGCTTTCCTGTGTATCCTGTGTTTTATTTATTTACATTTATTAGCCACCTAAGTCCAAAGTTATTCAGCTTTTTGAGACCAGCTACTGCTCTCAGTTGACAAGTGTACAGTTAATCCTCACTTACTGTTTGCCTTGTTTGGTGGCTATTCAAACTTGCAGTGGCATTCAGAAAAATGGCTTTCTAACTAATCCTTGTTTTATGGGGACTTTTACAGCGCTCCGTGGTCACATGATTGCCGTTCAGGTACAAGGAGCCTCTGTGGCGCAGTGGTTAGAGTGCAGTACTGCAAGCTACTTCTGCAGCCAGCTACCTACAGTTTGCCAGTTCAAATCCCACCAGGCTCAAGGTTGACTCATCCTTCCATCCTTCCAAGGTGGGTAAAATGAAGACCCAAATTGTTGGGGGGCAATATGCTGACTCTGTAAACCACTTAGAGAGGTCTGTAAAAGCACTATAAAGCGGTATATAAGTCTAAGTGCTATTGCTAATTGGCCTGAGACAAGTGGAGTTAATAGAGAAAGAATTGAAGGGGAAGGCGGAAGAAAGAAGAGGAGGAGGAGGGGGAAGAAGAGAAGGAGAGAAAGGGAGGAAGAGAGGGAGGATGTCAGCCTTCAAGATCTTCTGCTACTGCTTTGCATCTTTGGCTGCCATAAAGTAACGGGG